TATATTGCTTTCGCAGTATGCGGTACAGATCAAAGGTGTATATTTTAATCGTTATTGGTATTACGTTTATCAAAAAAAAAAATATATATATGTATATAAAAACAATTAATGCGATGATTAATCGATAAAACGTATTTTAAACTGTACTACAGTGTGGTGCACTTACCTACACGTATATTGTTATGTATAAATTATAATAAATAGTTTAAAATAATATTATTAGGTGCGCATCAATTAAACCAGTTAAAAGTTTTAATTTTTCTTTTAATTTTTCGCTTTCTGCCGTAGCTGTATCATCGTACTCATCGGTATTTTCTCTCTATTACTAAATCTCGAGATCAATCAACATTTTCAAAAATAATATTTGTCAAACATTAAAATATTACAATGAGTGCTGATTAATTATTAATAGTAAAGGTTTTTATGTAATTCGAACAGAATAAGTTTGTATCGCCACAGGGGGATTATTAATTTTACTTGAAAATGTGCTTCTTAAATACACATAAAAATTATAAACATCAGAATTCGAATAAATTCATTATCACACAAAAAAAAAAAAAAATGGAGGTGAGAATGCTTAATGAACCACCCCGTTCAACAAGAGGTTGGTTGTGCAGCTGCGGTCGTTCATAATTGTATAATATGTATTGTTATTGTCCGTTTGATCAAACAATAATTCAATATTGGTTTTCTCGTGTTGCCCGTGGAGATTTCACCGTTGTGAAACCGAATATGGAATATATAGGTGATAATATGTAGGTACGCGGTACACAAATGAAACGATGTATTATGTGTATAGTATACACATATTCATTGTACAGAATATTCCAATATCAAATTATTATTGTACAGCACAATAATAATTAAACGTTTCGAACATCCATCATTAAAATAATAAACCACACAGTGTGTGTGTGTGTGTGTGTGTGTGTGTGTGTGTGTGTTTGATATTATTATATCTAATATTGTATAGATATATATAATATATATATATATATATATATATATATATACATATATACAGACGTGCGGCACTCCTTTTAGACATTGCGCATGAAGTTAAATGACAACAATAAACGCTCAAAATTATTAATTATATTATCATATTTTACAAAAACACGATTGTTAAAATGCGTCAATGTTTCCCGTTTATTATATCGCATGTACCCGATGACAGGTGATATTGCTTGGTATGACACTAAATTGATACGTCATCGTTCGTGTATTATTTACTTTATCGCGATGAAAACAGATAGTTCTCGTTAGTCGTTACATTTCGATACCTGTACAATATTATGTAAATCGAAGAATCGATCGGATTTCATGTTAGTGTACGGTCAGTTTGCTTTGAAGTTTCAACATTAAATATACACCTATTACACCTACAGTGTTTGCCACGCACAGTAGCCGAAGTCGTACGATTGAAAATCCAAACTTAATTTATTTTCATCAAAATGTGTTTCCCTTGTTTCCGACCCTCCCCCATTACCACCACTGGTCTGAAGGTTCGTATAAAAGGGCCCAACGGTCACATATATTGTGGAAAACGATAATTATTATTTTATGGTGGACCTCATGCGGCAATAATAAATTATTATATTGGCTGCTATAAAAACCTGATAGTCAATATTGTTATTCAGGTTTTACCTCAGTAAATAGCAACGCTAGATTTTCAATGCGCATCGCCTATACTTAGTAATAGTTAACCTTAGAAATGTACAATTATAATTGGGTGTCTGTAATTTGCACCGAAATATAGATTTTAACTCTGATGCAAGTATTACAATTCATGTTTTTGTCTGACTGTGATGGTGCGAACTACTAACGCATTTCGATAATGTTTCACATCTCGCTTATATTTTGGATCAGTTTTTGTGAAAATGTACTACGCCCCTATTATCGTACGCTTACTGCAGGTATCGCTTAGGTGCAGCTGTATTGTATATCGGTAGTATCGTACATATACCTACCAGCTAGGTATTTATCGTCGTTAGGCTGGCTGTAGACTGCCGCCTTGCAACCAATCGCACCGAAATGTATTACACAACACTTCATCGCCTGCACGTCGTCGGGTGCTTTTCGTAATTTATCACACGCATAGGAGAGCGGGCGGATGGTTTCGATGGCGGCGGCGTACAAGATGCGTGTGTAGTGGGTGGGCAAACGCCACGACGAATGAAAAGCGAAAGAGAATCCGTCGTCGTGTGTTGCCCACACACCATGACGTGTACAACACACGTGCATTGTAACTGAACAGTTCGAATCGATTGCGATCGAGAGGGAACCGAATGAAAAATCGAGCTCTCGTTATTATTACCCGCACGACGAATAGATTCCCGTCAGTCAGTCACCGGTGTTTGGAAAGTTGCTGCAGCCCACAGCATCAGCCATAAGAATTTATTTCAAATTCTCGTACCGGTTTCTTTCGTAAAATATAATATATTATAAGTGTGAGCTGTATTCTCGTTCACATCTTTGAATTTTTGAAATTGATTCGCGATAGATTCCGGTCGACCGATAATCGATGGAATAAGTTACGTACTCATTATGGCTGCACCCAATACTACAAATCAGAGTAAATTCCGAAAGAAACTGGCAAAATATGCATTTTTATGTGTATCATAATTCTGCAGCCACGATTTTCCAGCTACCATCAGCACAGTAGGAGATTTTCTGTGAATTGTATACTCGTCCAACTCTCGACGCGATGACGATATAATCATTAGACTTTCATCTTCCGATTATGCAGTGATGTGTAAAAATAATATGTTCATCAAACATTTTCTTTGAGCGCCCTGTACGCCAGTGGTCTGTCATTGTTTTTGAGGTCTACAGTGGTTCGCAATAATTTTTTAGTAAAATTTTACTTTTGTGGACAAGATAGTCGGCTGAAATGTAGTTTTTGGAGGAAACGATAGATGTCCACTACGACACCGTCGCCTTCACTCGTCTCTGGATGAAAAAAGAAAATAATATATTTATAATATAACCATTCATAGATACTATAATATATACACATGTCGACATTTTCCATTGTTCATTATAGTATGTGAATGGCAGTAGATTACAAATATGCGTCCAATTTTAAATTCCAAACTCTGCCCCAGAGTGTATTTTGTAAAACTATCGTGGTGCGATTGACGTTCGATTCGTAGTAACAACTTATGGGTGTTTAACAATGTGAAAAGGATCAGTCTCGATTATAAATGATAGGGATACGTTGTAGTTTTACGCTCGTTGAACCGGCATTGACAATGATATATTGTAGATTTCAAAACGCCGATTACGCTTGTATAGAAGATCGTAAAAATAGATTATGTTTGAAATGCTCTGCGTCGGGATTCGTGTAATTGAATAAATATGTTGATTCGAAATTCTTACGGGGCCTCATAGAAATGGGATGCTTGACATGGCGTGCGACTATTACACAGCAGTAGTCGTGTGGAATATTTTTGAATGGATGAATTATTTATCGGGGGGAAAAGGAGATAAAAAAAGCACAATCACTTAGGTATTGGTCTCGAAATGTAAATACAATATTAATATCGTAAAAAAAAAAAAAGTAGAAATGCCCGTATAGTTGGGAGTGACATCATCTCACCCGTCGTCGACTTCGGGGTGTCTGTAACCGAATATTGTTTTTTAAATCGCTTTTTTTTTTTTTTAATTTTAGGGCGTGACAATAGCGCCATGCGTATCATATCGCGATGTCGATCCTATGATCATGTTCCCAAGATGTGTGTCGTAGTACCTGTTATAATACGATTATACTACGACATTATATTCTATTTTATAATTATTGCATCATTATTTGTTATTATATCTACAGGCGAGTGAATAAAATACAATTTAGAGGAACACGTAAACCTCAGGGTTCTCAATGACGACTTCACCGCAACGGAATATCACATTGTTAAAGTTTTAAAATATATTATACGTCATCGTGTCGCAGAAGTACCTATAGTACGCTGCGATGTATGAATGTGAGATATTTACCTACTGTGATACACTCGATGTGTTTGAGTTCTGACACTTGACCCGAGAAACGCCGCCGCCGTGTACAGTGTCACAGTGCACTGCCGGCTGTGATTAAAATTATCGACTTTTGTACCAGCGTGACGACGAATGATGGGGGGGGAGGGGGGCAAGGGGTACCTTTTCACTACGCATACGTTTGCAGCCTAGTTATAGCTCTGCAGCGAAACGAATAATAATAATTTTTATTCGACCAGTACGACTGTTCGCGACGTTTTCACCGTAACAGCCTCAACGGGGTTCTCCAATAATGTATTATTATTATTATTATTCATACAATATTATACGAACCGTTGAACTGCGGGGGCTACACTCATTATTTGACAGTGGGACGTGCGAAACAGTTTTTTGTGGGTGCAAACATAACTATTCGGCGTAGCTTACACTCCTGACATCACTCGCTTTCAATATTCCAAAATGTAATAATAATGATTTGAAACCCGCAGTGCTAAGCTTCTGGTGTTAAAGCGCATTAACCAGATACCGAGTTAAAAAGATCCTTCTACGCTGTATTAATGTCTCTACTTATGTTTGACAGATTGTGATAATAATTTTCAACCATACCTGTTAGTACAGTGTACACTAAAATTCTAAGGGTGCATATGTACACTCTAAAGTTTAGGTTATTTCCAAATGCACTTGTATGGTTATGTGAAGCAATCGACATACATTGCATGGCTATAAAGTTTTTATCCCGAGAACACTCATGTTCTACGACTTGAAATAAATAAGCATTACTAAAAAACATGAAAACAAAAATACTTTTAAAAAAATACTGTCACAAAGTTTTTAGTGCTTTTTAAAAACGCTTGAACGACACATTTTAATAGGAATATATTATAGTACAATGTTTACAAAATATATTTATTTTCTTCAACGTATATTTAAATTACGATGTAAAAAGTAATTTATTTAAAGCCATTTATCCGATGATTTTAAAACAACGTCGTTTTTTGTTTTTCCAGATGATGCATATCTCAAGATGTCCATTGAGACTATCGAGGAACTGGATTGGTGTTTGGATCAATTGGAAACCATCCAAACACATAGATCAGTTTCAGACATGGCATCGTCGAAAGTATGTAAAATAAAATCATGCTTCGCTGTGTTTAAAATCTAATATCACTATAGTTAAATGTATTTATAAATTTATAATGATCACAATATCGTCATTTAAAAATGGTCTAGAAAATTGTCCTAAATGTTTTTTTTTTTATATATATATAAATACAGTAGAATTAGCGTTGTACTCTCACAATCTGATTATGTCGTATATCTGGCAACCAACATGTAATTTTTTTTCTCAGTGACTATATGCGCTAACATATTTGATCGGATATAATAATGTGTTGTTTTTACAATGATGAGTTCAATCTTAAACTTTCACAGTGGTTTCAGGTAGTAAATTGCCTCTAGTTAATACTTTAGAGAATTAAAAATTATCTTGAAAAACATCGTACATTTTTGGCTTAGGTACCAATATTAATCATATTTTAAAAATACAGAATTATTAATTTTGTTTTTCTTTTATATTATAATTGTAATTGCATTAATCAGCGACTGTCACTCGTCAAGTCATATTGTTTAATCTATTTTTGATAGTATATCCCATATTTTGTTATGAGTCATTATCCATTAGTCAAACATATTTTAGTGCACATTTTGTTATTTAGATCATATTAAGAAAGTTTATTTTTCATACATTTAAAAATGTTTGATCATGGCCTAATGCTGGTTATATAGAGTATTTTGTTCGTGTTCATCACGTGTCATATTGTCATATTTTTAACCAGTTTCCATATAATTTAATATCTACCAGGTACAATGTGTATCATGAATATTATATTTTTTTCTCTTCGTGGAGCTTACAATACCAGATTATACATTACCGTTAAGCGATGTTAGAGGCTTAAACCAATTTTCCGGAAACTGCAGCGGCTACATAATATATCATTTTATAAAAGCTTGGTGTAAATTCCACCGTTGTACGTCGCGTATTCGATTATCGAAAACACTTTGTAGAATACAAACGTGACGTAACGAACGAAAACGGTTTCTTAATGATCTTCTTCCTTGGAAGGATAATAGCACCACAATTCCAATCACGTCTCACTATATATTATTATTATATACCTTTACGTCATATTAAGTTATAATTTGAGAGGATATTTTTTCCGATACATGTAAATCTGATATTTTTTCTCTTAATCGTTTAATAGTGCAAAATATTTAATTCTGCCTCGTAAGTAGTTATATTATATTTTTTTATAACATCTTTGTTTGCGAGCTGAGTATAGTGCCACTGAATGTTGCTTGATAATTAAACCATATAACAACCGACCTGGATATTGAAATGAAAATATAACAAATAAATTATAAAATTGGTTTATGCAAATTGTTTTGGAAAAGTGCGTAGTGGCTAACGGTTTTCGACAACCACGGCTTGCATTAAAATGTGAACTAGTGCTCGAAATTAATGCACAAACTGCCCGAAGAAAAAACCCAAGAAATAGAATTCTGTTTTTTTTTTCATATTATTATTATTATTTTCCAGAGTACTAACCTCCATGACATAAATACGGCCAATTTGTACTCAAACACTCTTCAGATACCTCCCGGTTAGATAGCGCGATGATAGCTAGACATTTTTCAAGTGGAAAATATCCGAGAAATCGATTTTGGTTTTTCCCTTTAAACAAATTGAATTTCCCATAACTCCGTGGCGGTAGCGCACATAATATAATCTATAGGCGTATACATATCCAGTGATTTGAATACAAAGAAAAAATAAAATAAAGTAAAGAATTGGAAGGACACAGAAAAAAAACGATGTGCTTTTTTATATAAAGTATGTATAGATGTAGAGCATAATATAGTAAATGATCAACTGGAGCTTACTATAATGCAAGCTGAGTATACAGCACGTGATGAAAAGAAATATTTTGGTGACCTTAATATCTTGCCTAAACTGATAACCAACTCCTTCAATACAAATTCATCCATAAATATTGCATTATATACACTATATTAAAAAGATCATTTATTTTAATCTAATATCCTAATATTACATTATATTGTATTGTTTTTGGTTTATTCGAGCTAAAACGAGATAAACAAATTAATGGTAACAATATTTAACAATGTAATATATTTATTGTAATTTAACATTTATAAATTAATTACAAATGATATATATTATGTTTAAGTTGTGATCAGTAAAATTAAATTAAATTGAGCCAATGAGTATTAACTACTGTTTAATAATATTAATAATTTTAGAACAAAGTATGTAGAGATATTTCATTTTTAATATCAACAGTTTGAAAGTTATATAAAACTATTGAATTTTAATTATAATGTACAGCTATGTGAAACGTTTTATTTTATTTTATATAATATTTAACATATTATATTATGTAAAGTGCATTACATTTTAGTTATTTTTCAAAATAATGTACATACTTGAAATTCATTGAAACTTATAACGTATCATTATAATTTATATGTTAATAATTTTACTACAGTGTATAATATTGTATTACAGTTTATTATTTATTAACAACTGGCATTGAGCATTTGAAATTTCTCAAACACCAAGTGATTTATATTTGCAGATCTGTTTTATTCAACTAAAAATGTATAGCTGTTTAATTCAATTTAATTTTGTATATAATGTTACAGTTCAAAAGGATGCTTAACAAAGAGCTTAGTCACTTCTCCGAGTCTAGTAAATCTGGAAATCAAATATCTGAATACATTTGTTCTACGTTTCTTGGTGAGTAATTGTATGAATAATAAAAGTACCTATATAATATCTCGAGCCAACAGTAGTCTCTCTCTCTTAAAAATCGATATTTTTTCTACAAAAAACCTAATGAGATTCGAGAAGTGTACCCTCGTATAATACGGTAATAAAAAAATGTCTTTGTTACGTCCGTTTCAGACAAACAACAAGAGCTGGATATACCATCACTGCACACCGACGATAACCAACAAGACGAAGCTCGACAGAACTCTAACAAGGCGTCGTCGTCCTCTGGTGCGTCGACCAGTTCTCAGTCTGGCTCGCAGTCCAAGAAAAAAGACGTGAAGTCCAAAGTGACGCCGATGTCTCATATATCGGGGGTAAAGAGGGCCTTGTCACACACAAACAGTTTCGCCGGCGAACGATTGCCAAAATTCGGCGTGGACACGCCCAAGGAAGAAGAATTGGGAAATGTGAGTCAAAATTATCATACATTTTAAAACAATGATAATATTTCATAGTAATATGTTGTTATACAGAACTCGACCGAATGTGCGCAATTGAGTGTGAGTGATGTAAATACAGGTACAGGTTCTAAAAGACTTGTCACGGGGTGGTGGAACTTACCCTAATATTATTCTTAAATATTTTTCATAATTTTATCCAGAAAATGTTATTTCGATTTCACCAAATGTTTATAACAGTTTATCATATACCTAAATGTTTTACACGCCCAAAATATTATGTTCATTGAGTCCGTCGGGGAAAAATTCAGGTTAGGAGGAAAACCTAATGAGTTTTCAGATGGTTTTATGCGAATTTCTCAGATACATTTTTAAAGTGGTTAAATAAATGTGTGTTTTGGGGCACTGTATTGGTGTTGTGTTCAGTGTTAAAAATAACACGAAATAATTTTATGATCTTTAAATAGTAAAATAATATGATGCACCCTACACTATTAAAATCATTATTGTTTATTATACACCCGATTCTACGTTTTATTATTGTCGAGCTATTGAGACAATATCACGGTTAACCCTCGTGAAACACGACCGGAAAGGCCGTTTTGGCGAAACAATTAGTAAGCTCTTACCACTAATAATGTAGGTACCGTGTACGTCTACTATTATACTTGTGCGCATATTCTCGTGTATGTATTCTCGTCGAATATTGTTGCAGTAGTGCTGCTGTATACAATGTATTGATAGTTATTACATTGGCCCCTCTTGGTTTCTCTTTCAGACTTTGGCCGAAATAGACAAATGGGGTATCGATATATTCCGGATAGCCGATCTGACCAACAACCGGCCCCTGACAGCCATAGCGTATACTGTGTTCCAGGTAACAACAACAACAACATCAATAATAACGACAGTAAAGGCGACGAGAAGTAAACTAGAGCTGGATAATGCTGCTCATTGCTGCTCAACAGTTGTAGTCGCAAAGCTCGTTTGCCACGCTGTTAACCAAATAGTAATCGCTTATGATCGCTATATTTTACTTTCCTTGTTTTCAGAACCGAGAGCTATTGAAAACGTTCATGATTCCTGCAAAAACGTTTGTTGCGTTCATGATGACCCTAGAGGATCATTACGCCAAAGACAATCCTTTCCACAATAGCACACACGCGGCTGACGTCGTCCAGTCCACCAACGTTCTGCTAAACTCGCCGGCTTTGGAGGTGAGTGGACAAAACCCTCGTACCACTACACCTATAACCATATTACATTATATCATAATCGGAACAATAATATTATACTATATAATCCGCGTATCATTTTTCAGAGCGTTTTTACTCCGCTGGAAATCACCGCTGCCCTTTTCGCAGCTGCCATACACGACGTTGACCATCCCGGACTGACCAATCAGTTTCTTATCAACTCGAGTAAATAACACTTCAGCTATATAATATTATACCATATTAATATATAATGCTTTGCGATGACATTTTGGTTGCCTCGTATTTTTTTTGACGTTTTTCGTCCTCATTTTTTTTTCACAGGTTCTGAATTGGCTCTGATGTACAACGACGAGTCCGTGCTCGAAAACCATCATTTAGCTGTGGCTTTCAAACTTTTACAGAACGACGGGTGTGACATATTCCAGAACATCAACAAAAAACAAAGACAAACTCTGAGAAAAATGGTTATCGACATGGTAAGACAATTTTTCGATGTTATTATTTTATAGTACGCATTTAATACTGCTATTATTATTAACTTTATTTTTCGTGTTTTATATTACTTACATATAGGTACTTTCCACTGACATGTCCAAACATATGAGCCTGTTAGCTGACCTCAAGACCATGGTGGAAACAAAAAAAGTGGCCGGTTCCGGGGTATTGCTGCTAGACAACTACACCGACAGAATACAAGTAAATTAGACCACTGAAATTACACTAACATTGAACACATGAAACATCAAAATATATTATATGTACGTTTATCTAAACAGGTCTTGCAAAACTTGGTACATTGCGCTGACTTGAGTAACCCTACCAAACCGTTGGAACTATACAAACGATGGGTCGACCTGTTGATGGAGGAATTCTTCCAGCAGGGCGACAAAGAGCGAGAACAAAACTTGGACATTAGTCCAATGTGCGACAGGCACAGTGCTACGATCGAAAAATCACAGGTAATGATTACCACCGAACTTCGAGGGAACTCTATAACAATACCACCAACCTTTATCAAAATTATCATAACTCCACCATTACCATTGTATTTTCTGTGCGCAGGTCGGATTCATCGATTACATCGTGCACCCTCTGTGGGAGACGTGGGCTGACTTGGTGCATCCCGACGCCCAGGAAATACTTGATACCCTCGAAGAAAACCGAGACTGGTACCAGAGTGAGTATATAATATAATGTTACGGTTTCGTTATAAAAGCGGATATGAAGGACTATGATGTGCTCTTTGACATTACACATCGTAGTTGTATCGGTGATGGTTGTCGTGACGATAATTGTCAACGTACCTACGTACAGTGGTTTATGTACAGAGTATACTAAGCCTCGGTTTCGTTTTGCGCTCAACAGGTATGATTCCACCCAGCCCGCCCAACGACGAGTCTGAAGACCGTGACAGCGGTGACGACGACGACTCTAAGCCTTCGGCCAGTGACCAGGACCCAAACATCAGGTTCCACGTGACGCTTGAGGAAGGCGATGAAGACTCGGTGGCCGCGATGTGACGCAAACTAGTCGGCTGGTGTCGCAAGCTGGGCGAAAAAGTCAACTCCTGGTGGAGGACCAAACAATGAGCAAAACAACGAGCGACTCACCTCGTCCCCGTCGCTTGGCAAAAAAATAAAAAACCACAACAACGCCCCTTGTCCCTCCCCCCAAGAATTACATGGTGTGTTCGTGTATTTGTGTGTGTGCGTGTGTATACGTGTGCGTGTGCGTTTGCGTGTGCGTATGCGTGTGCGTGTGCGTGTGCGTGTGCGTGTGCGTGTGCGTGTGCGTGTGCGTGTGCGTGTGCGTGTGCGTGTGCGTGTGCGTGTAAGGAATCTATCCAAAACGCTTTTTTTTCTGTCTATGTAAAAAATTAAAAACAAGTTTAAAAAAAGATAATGATTAATGATAATAATAAACAAAAAACGAAAAAAAAATAATTAACTGCAAATTCCTTTAATCTCATTTACATATAGTTATATATACATGATAATATATAAAACACGGATAAAAAAAAAAAAAAACACTTTATTATTAATAATATTTTGATGTAATTTTGTTGTTATACATTTAGGTACGTATTATTAATTATTAATTAATGTTAGTTTGTGTTGTTCGGAGAGAGAATTTTGCTCGTTTGTTTGTTTTTTTTTTCTTTTTTTATTATTGAATACCGTTTTTGTAGTTATTCTTCATTTGATTTTTCAAATAATTATCTTTCTTGTTTAGTCATTATTTTAATATTTATTGATGTTATAGCTGTTTAATAAAAAGAAATGATGTTACACATAAGAATATATACAACTAACTATTGTCATAATAATTAATAGTTATATTATTAATCTTATATCTTTCGGACATATAATTTTAAATAAAACAAACAAGATATGTATATCCCTGAAAATGAACCTAACCTGACTAAAATATCGTGTGACAAAGTAAAGTTTGATTTTCTGATCATACTGTAAGCATGGACATTTTGGTTTTGATCTTTTTTTATATACCTACATATAATATTTTTTTTTAAACTTTTAATTCAAGTTTTTATAAAAAAAAATATATATGACTTTCCTTTAAATTTTACCATTTCCAAGTATATTTAAATCTTATTTGAATTCATAGTTTGGTGTACTATTGGTAGTTAAAAAAATATGAAACCAAAAAATAATAATATTAAAATCGTAATTTAAAAAATGAGATTTTATCCAGCTTTAAAATATGTTCCATATGAATCAACGGTAAAATAATTCGATGATTATAATTTTTGCCAAGACAAAATAGAAATGCATAATATGACTTTTTTATCATAGTTAAAATTTTTACACATTTTAATACCTTCGTTTATTGCCTGTATTATACGACACAGCTAAGTCTCTGAAGACTTTCGATTGAGGCTGCGATTTTCTTTCGTCTACCACAAGTGTACACGTTACTTTTTTCAGTTGGGTTCATACATTTTCCTTTCTATTCTTACAGATTCAGAAATATTTACTATATTTTCAGATTCCATTTGTCAATTCACTTGCATTTCTCTTCCGATAGGTAGTAATTTATTTATTATTTACTATTTAGGTATACTTGCAAATGTAATGTTACCTTTCATTGTATTTTCAAATGTGTATATTATATAGTATTATTTATATATTATGTATACATTTGTTGAATATAATAATTATTAGTATGTATTCATTTTATAATTTAAAAGACTAGTCAATTTTTCGCCAAATATTTGTACAAATTTTACTACCCTCCCTGCCCAGGCCCCCCATCACCCTTTTTAAGTTTATTTAATATTCTTTTTTTCTAAAATCCACGTTTGTCTATTGACTGTCTATTTTATATAAGCTTGGTAATTCAGGGTCCCCGATTTTTGTCCAAATTCCTATTTACTTTTTTTTATGAAAAAAAAATATATACATGATATATAATTAATAATAAATACTAAACGTGTAAATAATATACGTCTCTTCCTATATTACGTGTAAAAATAATATGATAGATACGTATTATACATATATTGCCATATATGTAGAATATATGTATGTATATATATATATTTAAACTACGGAGAATATCTTTCGCGAGCCTTAGTTATTGTCATATTATTACAATATCATCTTTTGCATCTGTTGATAACACACGTTTTGATTATATATTATTATATATAACAATACACTACGGCTGTTTAGTGTGTACCACTTTGTTTGTTTCAAAAGGATCTAACGAGCGGTGCTTAATTAATAATTTGAATTTAAGAACAATTTTATTTATCAGTGTTGTATTCAAAGTTAAATGCACATCGAGTATATATTTATATATTATATGGACATACAGCATACGGTATGTGTATGTGTTTATAAAAATATATTTACATAAATATTATTATTATTATTATTATTATTATTATGATTATTATTATTATTATTATTATTATGTCTATAGGTCTGTAATTTTGTACCAAATAGATCGAATAAAATATGAAAAACTCGGTACAATATATTGGTGTTGATAATTTATATTGGTTTTTATATTATATATTATTATTATTAATATTAAACTGTATTCCATGCCCATGGTCGTCTGCATTTCAATCCGAAGGAAACGTGCCAATTTCGGACCAAATACGTTTCAAAGTTCTTCCGTTGTTGCCAATCAGCGCCATGTCGTGTTCGTAGTAAAAAATCATAATTCTACGCACACGAAAACATAAAAATAATATAGCATTAGTGTTATCAGATCGTTTCTTATATCTTTTAGCCTATGAAACTTTTATTTGAGAATTATTATAATAATAATAATAATATCAACAACAAGTAGCATTTACAACAGTTCTTGCGATTTACATAATATTATAATACACACAATAGAAACACGTATAAGCTATACACAAGTTGTTTTGTTATGGTTTCGTGATTGCTCTGCAGCAGCTATAAGTATGAAAACTCGACATCACTATGAATAACTTCGATATTTTCTGTAACCTCAAACCTGTTTTAGTGAATGTAAACGAACAATTGCACCAAAACTTTATATCAAATACACACGAGCTGGTATAGATAAGGTTCTCGGTTTCAAATCCGTAGGTACAGTGGTTGTGGAAAGGCCCAATTTTAATATTGCTCGCAGTCTACGTTTAAAGTCCAGCCACTGATCGACCTCTTTCAGCTACATTTTGTGTAGGTACATCATAACTTTGTAACGAGTAATAATGTACATTCGAGTATATTGTGGAGTGGTGGTGGTGATGGTGGCAAATATGGAATTCATCGTCTAAAAGGTAAGCTCAGTGAGCCAATGCGTATGCACGCCGATAATCCACCCGTACAATATTGAGAACCGCTATAATTTGACAATGTTTATGCGTGTCTACCGATATTTTATAATATTGTTATATGTGCTCGGACATTGTTTGACCAATCCCTCCTTCAAGTATACCTACACACCTATCACAGTAGTAGACATTATCGTCTCGCCACCGACGACCGTAGTATTTAGTAAACTTCATTTTTGGTACTAGAACGCAGAATACAAACAAGGCTGGTGTGAACTGTAATATAGTGCGTATAGTATATTAGTGTCTATCAAACTAGGTAATAATATAGTGTGTATAATATTTCTGTTGTATGTAAAACTGCAGACCGGAGTGTTGACAAGTACCTACACAAATTAATAATACGCATAGATTAACACCGACGCATCATATTGGACTATTCAGTGATAGTTATTACGAGTGCAAACAGCGATAAGTCGAAAGAAGAAAAAACGTATACTGCAAATGTATATCTATATCGTTTACGTAATGACATTATATTATTCAATAGTCGCTACAAAGTGGTGGTGTAACGATAATATTTTATGACGTTACACTAATCGATATTTTCATGATTAAATGTATATATACACTATTTACCATCATACACTTGTTAAATATTTATTTAATAGGTAGATTTCTCGGTGATTTGATATTACTTCAAAGAGATACATTTCGAAGCCCACTTGTTTTGTGAAACGCAATATTATCATAGGTACCGCCCGTGGATCGTTTATAAATTAGAGTCTTTACAGGTGTCATCCGCTAATTTAGTGGTGGCAATAATCCTGCGCAAATATATTTTGTAGTCTGGCCAGCAGGGATCGAAACCGTTTCCAATAACGGTTTCAGTTCTTGAGAACGGGTTTCTACATTCTCTGGTTTTGGTTTTAAGATCGGTTGTTTTTAAATTGTTTGGTTATGGTTTCAGTTTCAAAAAAGGTTTTCAAATTTATCGGTTTAAGAACAGTTTTTGAAAATGTCCAATTTTTTTCCTGCGTCTATTTACTGTAGAACCGATTTTTATTATTTATTAACTATAAAGAGCCGAGTCTAAAGCAATAAAATATGACTGATTTGCACAAGTAGCGTACAAAAACTTGGCTACTTCATAGTACGGACCTTATCATATTAGTCTGCGGGCCCAACCTCATTGGTAAACGGTTTGAAAATAATTTTCTCGAGCGATCCAGCCTACAATATTATCTATTATAACTGAATACAAGCTGTTCAAGCCTAAACACTGCCGCTCGGATTATAATACAATCATTCCACGATTCGCCAAATCCACCAATTAATTGGTAACCGTATACTCTCTGAGGACTACTTCAGTACAGGCGTGGTACCGCTTAATTTCCAATTGGGTCCTGAAGGATAAAGTAAACTCTGCTGAGTCTTAGTCCGCGATAACTTAGTTTGTAAATTATAATTAAATCGCATCATTGACGATCAAGTACTTAGGCATAATGTAATGGGTTAGGTTGGTTATAGTATGTTATTTGCCATAAATTATAATCAATGACAGAAAGAAAAAATATGAATTAATTTCTTTAGCTGTGAGCTATAATAAATTATATTGTAGATATTAATAAAGTTAAAAATTTTTACTTAATTTTTGTAACAATATAAATGTACAAACAAACTTTAATAAAGCCGATTATATTAATGAATGTTAGTAAATAATAAAAATCTATTTTATGAAACAAATAACAATATGTATAACATAAAATCCATGTAAGACTTTGTATGGGCTAATGAATAGTGACTTTATTTGCCGAAGCCTTTATTCCTAATCAATAAAATAAAAAATTCCCAGGTAAACATACCGGTGACCCCGGAGAGTATGTATGACTTCAAGTAAGCTTAATATTAGCCCGGGAGAATGCTCCCCCCCCCTCGATTAATTGATAAAATAGCTTTTGCGGTGTTAGAAAACAAACAATACACGTTCGACTAACGACTTTTTCTCTAGTTTCTTGACATTGAACGAGCGTTTGATAAAGTATTATTGTAAAATAATGGTCGTGGTCTTGTCACGTTGTACCCAAATCTGGGGGCCTGCCTAACTCTCGAACAGACGACCTATTTATCAATTTAAAACTTAGGTCTCTACTTGTACTCTACCAGGTGTTATGTGTGTGGTAGTAACTAACGTGTCACAAAGTAATAAATTATTACAACGAATTGAAAATTAAAAATGTCCAGACTTAAATTCCTCAAGATTTTATTTCTAACATAACCTTTTTTTTTCGTTATAACCGACGACGCCGCGGGATCTGCTTTCGACATAACCTAACCTAGGTTAAAATCCTCTATACTCATTTGTTTACAAAACTTAACACTTGTATAATTAAAATAAATCATATTGAAAACATTATTTCAAATATCAAAAAGCCACAATTAATAATTATGGCTCAAAAGTAACTAAAGGAGTAGTGGAATTGCAAATTTGCTTGAATGAACGTTTGGAAGTATCCCTAATGTATGGCAATAATTTTGCCTCAATACTGTAATCTATAATTGTTTAAATGAAAAACTGTATAAATCGTTTTATATTTTAATAAAAAAAAAAACTGTCTGTTGACACTCATGTTGATCACTCAAAAATGTTTTTGTATACAAGAAATTGCAATGTGATAATAATGAATCGTAGTTTTATTTTATTACCTGTAATATGTATAGGAAAACTTCACCAATATTAAGGTTAGCTTATACAAAACTTAATATTGTAATATATCAACCATATTCACTCATTAGCTCAAAAATTAAAAATTGAAAAAATGAAAGTGTGAAAGAACGCTATAAACAATTACAATAATGGATTTATATTTGACGAGAAGTAAGAATATCTACAATTTTATCACATCGTTTTAGTTTACAGTTCAAAATATTTAGACATAACATGCCTATTATAGGTACCTACATATTTTATGATTATTACAATTATGGTTTTTTTTTTTAATAATAATATATTATTATATGAATTTTAAAATTTTACTTGATTTGCTTCACTAATGGAGTTTAAATGAACTCAATCTTACATGTGTTTTTTCCTGGCAGAGCTTGCACTAAAAATAGTTATTTGCGGAGGAGCTTACGAGCTCGTACATGCACCCCTTATTATATCATGGACTTATGGGCTATATTTTTTGTTGCCTTCGTTTCGTATAATGTGGACATAAAGTCGTAAAAGTTACCTGGATTTGGGAACTACTAGCGAGTTTTGGAGGTATTCGCTGATGGCGGCCACGTAGCATTCGATAGCTCCTTCATCCGTCGCTGTGCCCGGTCGTAGTGACCCTCTGGTTAGGCTCATCACGACACAAGGTTCGGTGGAACCGGAAAAGTCGAACTCCTGTCCAGATCGCAGTTGTCCCATGATCACCTACAGTCCCAGACAATATAAGACAACCACCAGTATATTTGTGTAGTATTATGAGGAAGTATTTTATTACGATAGGTATTATGATGTACCTAAAGTAATAAAGATGTTTTATTTTTTAAAAGCACAAAACCTCACAGCGATGAGATTATAATATAGTGTTTTATATTAAGTTGATATCAGCGATGAGATTATATAGTGTTTTATAAGTTGATATAAATCACTATACATAAAAAATATTTTTACTATTTAAATATTTATTTCTACTGTTCATCACCGGCGCCTCCTATTGACCAATTAATTTCGTGTTTCCTATCAAATGTTATAATTTCAATATAATACTCAATATTATTAATTAATATTTGAATAAAACTACAAAAAACAATTCTGTTTTGTCTTATACTTGGTTTCAAACTGCAAAATATTCATTTTTTATTTTTTTTTTTTTTTATAAGGAAGTTTATAATATAATAATACCTAACCTAACCTTTATAATATATTATAAATAGAGCCAGGATTTTGGTGACTTTTGTATTTTTTTTCTCTAAGTGTTATACAATTCTGTACAAAAACTAAATTGGTTTCGTAATATAACATTTTAAAATATGTAATTTTTATTTTGCATTTTTTTGCGATTTTTAATGTCATTTTTACGTAATATTAGAAATATTACGTTCATCTTGTGTATTTAAAGTAATTTTTGTTTATTTTAAGCTTTTTTAATATGTGTTGTTAAGGAAATCCCAATTAGTACCTTTAGGCAATTACCTACTCCAGTCCATTGATATTGAAAAAGTTACATAATTAATTGTCAATTTATCCGATAAGACTAAATATCGAACGAACCCATAACTATTTAAGTATACGATAGTAGCTTTAGTAGTGAATTCGACACTTACCTGTGTGGTTCTACCGATCTTAATTGTATAAAATGCCAAAAATTAAACAACAGTAGGAAACCGTTTACGTAGTTTTGTGAGTGAGTTTGGTGCTGATATTTTTTCTTTTTGTAAAGTTTGTAATGTGCAGTAGTCTCCGAAAAGAAATTTACAATTTAATAACACATCGGTCAAGATAAGCATGCTCTTGGACTTCAACGAGAACTGAATGAAATGAAACAAAATAATCAAGTAAGTACCATTATTTAATTTAACAAATAATAGCGATCAATCGTTATTTAAATTAGAGCTTTGTGAAACATTAATAGCAGCTAATATTTCACTTGCTAAATTAAATAACACATATTTTAGAAATTTTTTAGAAAAAAATATAAAATTTGAAATCCCAGACGAGTCTAAAAATTATGGTAAAAAATGCTATTTAAATTTTAAATACAATACGAACTATTAGACACTATGTAGGCGATAAAAAAATTTGGTATAGTGTAGATGAAACGATAGATGTTGAAGGCCGTTTTATGGTAAATATCGTTATTGGTACCCTGGAAGCAGAAAATTCAGAAAAAATATTTTTTTACATTCTGATGTCTTGGAAAAAACAAATCATTCAACCATTGCAAAAGCGTTCGATAAATCCATGTTTGCATTATGCCCTGAAGGAATAAAACACGATAATGTCCTCATTTTTGTATCTGATACTGCCCCATTTATGGTGAAAGCAGGCAGAGCTATTTGCCCTCTGTATTCAAAAATGGTGCATGTTATGTGGTGCATACAATTCATAGAGTTGCGGAAGAAATAAGATCAAATTTTCAAGATGTCAATAAACTTATATGTTGGGTAGATAAAATATTTTTAAAAACAAAATATAGTACACAAACGTTTAAAACTCTTGCTCCAGGAATTCTATTGCCACCCGAACCCGTAATCACGCGATGGGGAACCTGGCTAAATGCTGTAAATGACTATTGTGAGAATTTTTCTTATGTAAAAAAAGTTTTGCTTGATGATTCGACTACTGTAAAATAAGCAAAAGAACTTATATCTAAATCAAGTTTAGAAGCTAATCTAATTTATGTATAAAATCTAATTTTAGTTTCATTCTTTCAGAAATAAAAAACCCGGAGGCTTCTGGAATCGTATTATGAAAATCTATTAATAAAATAAAACAAATTGAGACTACATTGTCCCTTGCTCCTAATGTAAACGGAGAAACAATATCAAACAAACTGAAAAATAATGGGTTCAAAGTTTTAAAAACTATATCTGCTATTCTAGACGGTGAAAATACAACAAGTAGAGATGGTATTCCGGAAGACCTAACTTTAAATGATATATGGTTCATTTCAAATATGTCACTGTTACTTCTATGGACGTCGAACGAAATTTTTCTTCATATACAAACATTTTATCTGACCGCTGTCACAGCTTCCTGTCTGAAAATCTTAAGAATCGTCTAATTGTACAATGCAATAATATTATGTGTACAGGTGAAAATAAAATATGATGTATTTTTCATTAAATTATTTTACTTTATGCTTTTATTGATTTTTTAGAATAATTATATCAGAACGCGGTTACATTCACAAGTCTATTATGTTCATAATTAGTAATTATTGATTAATAATAATATTTATTTTTAAAACAAATTTTTTTCGCTCATCTGAGTACATTCTTTAGAGATTTTAGGTCATTTTTGCATTTTTTTAGTGCATTTTTGTGTATTTTCTAGGTCATTAAAATCCTTGCTCTAATTATAAGCTTTGTCTATTTCCCACCTATCATGTTTTTGAGTTTTTAACTCGTAATTATCAATAGTTTCCATAATATCATTGATTGAGCTACTATACAGTCTACCCATATTATACATAGTTTATAATTATGCAGGCAAGTACACGTTAAATAATAAAATAATATTATATTATAATGTATAATATTATACAACGTAAACGGTACGAAATTTCTCGAAAGTTTCCTAATCGCGTTACGTACATAATAAAAATAATAATAATATATTGTTAGGTGCACTATTGTTACACCTATAGATCGGCCGCGGCGCTTCGAATACAGATCGGTAGATTACGTAAAACCAAAAAAAAAATTAATAATCAGTCAAGTTTGTTGACAATATAATAATATAGTAATAATTATTGATGTTGGTGACAACAACTATTGTACCAGGTGAAAGTCTATGCCGGTGGAAGGGATGGAAGGCGGAAGAGAATAAAAATAATATTGTGCGATCGATAACGTCAATAAAAGTGTATAAATCGCATGTGTAATAATATTATCGTTTTATTATAACTGAAAGCGACTAAACCCGATTTTGCGTCCTGTCATATATCCACAATTATAGTCTAAATTTTATTTGAGTAAATACGATGGAATGGTATTCAGTAAATTGGTCGCAAAGAATACAATTATTCACAGAAAATTATAGTGATTAAACCTGGTAGTGGATAAAATTAATGGTTTCATAAACGTATATTAATTATTGTATTTACCGTTTAAAATAGTAATAATCAAATATTATAATATAATAATACCATAACTTCTGTTATCATCGGCCTAAATTACAAAGGCCGGAAGTCCAAAATGGTACATTTTGTGGGAAAAGAAAAAGCGTTTCAACCATTTTGTCGGCTTAGTTCCTTAGTTCATACATAGGTCGTATCTAAATCATTTAATACTCAATAATTATATGGAGATACGACTTTTTCTACGTTTTAAAAATCGACGATATACATTTAAAATATGACGATTTCTAACTATCAATTTCATGGAGAGTAAAATTATAAAATTTCAGTCACGCCTATATAATTCAATGCGGTTTTTTTCTTAAATTTAATCACAAATAATTTCAAAACCCAAAGAAATGGAGATACGACCTCTCCAATTTAGGCCGACGTAATATTATGTTTCTTGATAAAATAATATCATGTATGGATTGAAAAAAAAATTATTTATGTGATCAACGTGCTAATTCAAAAAGTATAGGATAAGTTTTTAATCTAAGTTAATGCAATATTTTTTTTCCATATTAACTTTAATCTTAAAGTGAAATGTATTGTTTTGTACCATACCTGCCTATATTATAGTTTATAACTTTATAACTATACACCAACTAATAACAATATTATATTGACTCAACTTTAATATTAATTCTTATTAATCGTCATCATTAACTGGCCCACCTTCGGGTTAATGATATGTGCGTTATCTTTAATATTTACCTTTTTGGGCCTGTCAAACAGCGCGCACAGGAAGTCGGAAGTATCGGAAAGGAATCCGCCGGGCACCTGGTCGGCCGCCAAATTCGTGTCAATGGTATAGCTCATATTATTTTTGCATATAACGCCAAAACGTAGTAGAGTGACTCGTGAAATAGAATAATGGATAAAAATAATAATTAAAAATATTTAAAATTAAATTATTTACAAGCTATGGTGCACGTGTATAATCTTGCTTTGTGGTACGACATTATAATGCCGCACGTATCACTGCAATTTTCAAAACAGTCGACGGTAAAGTATTATATAATTTAATAATATATTATAATGAATGTTATAATTATTATTGTGTAATCAGGGAGCGTGGACCAGCAACACTCGGTCTTGACCCCGAAAATGCCGTCTAAACGGAGTTTTTTTTACGCTTTACGTATTACGATTATGTAAAAGTAGTTTTATCTACGGTCTTTTGACATGAAGTCGTTTACATATTATTGTATTATAATATGAGTTATAAGTATGCAGTATGACAAATGCGCGTGTAAAAGTAAAAACCCCTGTGTAAAACAATCTACCCTTTTCACTACTCATGAATAACATTTACAAATTTTTTTTGAAACATAATATTATTTTAATACACAACTGAAGCTTAAAAAAAAAACTGATCTTTTTCTACCAAATAATAATAATTACACTGAGTCATAGTATCAAGTATATTATATTAACTTGTAACGTTGAAATAAATAGCTGAACAATTGAGTCGTTTATGTCTGCTCGGAAATAAATTATCCCCAAGAATACACGACTGTTACATATATACTTACTAAATAGTATTTGGCATTTGTGTTCGAGTAATATTAATATTATATTATATCCACACAACTCACCAGGCAATAAGTCATAAGATAAATTATTAATATTCCAATAATATTTTAATCATCAATACGACGCGGACCTATATAATTGTTTTGATTTTTTATAATTAATATAACACTTTTTTTATGAAATAAGACGTTTCCAAATTCATTATCGTGCTATCATAGAAACCACACCACTTTTTACACAGTTGTGGCGTTTATTGAATGTTGTTCACTCAAAACAGCTAATTTGAATTTTGATTTTTTAAATGAGTTAAATTCAAATACTTGGGTAGCTGACGGTAGATGTCGCGAACTGTTGTTTGTATTACTTCGCAGTTTTCAAGCGGGTGGCGAAGTTTAATGAATTACATTTTCAGGCAATTTTTATTTGAAGTAATTACATTATCAATACTTGTAGGTGGGTGCTTAAACATTAAATACAACTATGTCATAGGATTTTCAAAAGTCATCAGTGCCTCTCGATGTGGATACACTAATCCAGCATATACCGCAGGTACGGAACGTTATGGCGTTTTCAATTTTGTACAACATGTTTCACGGTACTTGCAATTTCTAAATGTCCTACCAGACTCAACGAATACAAATGGCCTGCGATTTGTAATATAATTATTATTATTTATATAATTATTACTTACTGCAATGAAGTACCTGGGTGCAAAATAATATGTTTAATCATAGCAATTATACTGCAAGCATCGAGCCAGCCTGTGTAGTATAACTTTAATAATAGTACCTGATCGAACACGATCTCCAAGGCGTTCTTATAGGCAATTTAAGTTTCAAATGAGAAACAAACGACATTTGTGTTGCCTACCGACCACAAAAGCAAAAATCGTTTTACACAAAATAATACTCGTCACACCTACCTATGCATACTTTTATTTATTCATAAACTTAATATACTAGTAAGTCGTGATTAACTAACTGCTTAGTTTTTTGGATCAATGACTTGAATAATAATAATAATAGTTTTTGTCTTGGCATTTGTCATTTTGATTTATAAAAGTGACCACGTGGTCTTGTCTACATCGTGGTGAAAATCCGGAAAAAAATCATAGATGTCACCCCTGACGTACTTAATAGTATATCATACATCGGTCTACCCGAGTCACTGTAATTTATATCTAATAACTGCAGGTTAAAAGCCTAGCCCTTACACCTGTTGCGGTATGCAACCAATTTTTACCACATCATAATATAAACTTCATACTTAGTATCAGAATCTACGCGTGACCCACATCATTTTGCTCTATCTTCCAGCACAAAATATAATTAATCTTAATGTTTTCGACTCCCACTATGGTTTCACGACCTCCAGGTCACGCGCCTCACTGCATATATAGTGTACCCAATAATAATATGACAGGTTATTGTATTACAGACAGGAAAGGGATTTAAACAAAATAACACACAAGATAATATGATTATCGACACTTAAAATTTCAAACAATAATGTGGTGACGCACAGACAATAATATGAAACGTGTCAATAATACTGCGGCAGACAAAATATAATAGAGGACCGGTGACGACGTATTATTTTATAATTCCCGAGGAAGAACAACAGACCGCTACTGGTGCATGTCCGACCTGTAGCGGGAACAAAGGATTATAATGGGTAATTAATTAGTCACAGGAAAAAATATTTGATGACATTTGATTGAAACAATAAATCGTGCAACAGTCAAAAAGGTATCAGATGAACTGTTATTAAACATGTGTCTGGTCCATGGTGTTCCGAAATATAATAAAAGTGCAATCGCACTCCGTGTACACATATTTATAGGCGCATGTCTATATTTTGTTAGTAATAATATCATAATATAATGATGACATTTATTTCTGTACGACCACACTACAACGGTTTGTAACGAATCGTGGAAAAAATTAACATCGGTTAACATTGGTTATTGTCGATGATTTTTTATACTATTATTTATTTGTAGGTATATAGGCAGTTTCATGGACATATAGAACGGAACAAAATATAAAGCCACTTATTAGAATGTTATAAATATTAAACGGGGAAGGTATATATATATATATATATATTACTTTGTATATTATTTTTAATATACATATAGCTGTATAGTTTACAATCGAAATTTCGATAATGCACGACAGCGTCCTATTTATTTCACGGGAAATCAATAGTAAAATTGATAAAAAAAAATTCGTACCCAATAAAACGCATAACCATACACATGTTATGAGTTTTTTTAGTTGAATGGCTAACCTCGCAGTCTTGTAATGGTAAGATAATGGTAATATTTTAATCTGCTTCGACATCGATATCTGTGACATCGATATCGACATTCTGATATCACAGCTATATTCAGTCACGTATTGCTTGTTTAATTTCGAATTTGTTTAATTTATGCTTAATTTAATAAGATATTTGAATTCCAATGTATATACGGTCTTTCTACGGCTTTTCCTTCGATATTTCTGTATGGGTTTTTTTTTATATTTTGACAAAACTAGAGAAATTGTTAATGGATCAAATTATTTTTGTACCCAATTTAAAAACCAGGTTGTCAGTGGTACTGCAGAGTGGTGGTGTTGTACGTGGCAGTTGCAATTGACAGTGGTAGAGTGGCAACGATGGTATGAAAGAGTGCTGGCGGTGCGTAAATGGTTTAAATAAATGATACAAACCAAAACAATAGTAAAAAAGGCTGAGGGCGACGATAGGTAAGAAGGTAAAAAATACAGTTCCATTCTGAACATCGAGGAACATGAATCGATACATACACGCACAATTGGGGGGCGCAACTAGATGCGTTCCGCGATAAAAATGTCTTATAAAAATTGTGGCCCGAGTTTTTTTGGGTTACATGCGATCTGCGGCCAAAATTTCAAATTAAATTAATTGAAATATGTAAAACAAAATTAAAAAAGCTTCGTTTTTCGTCAAATATGCATACAGACTTAGGACTGTCTGCCTGCTTAATGTTTCATCACTATCGTTTTCGCAGTTTTCATTATTTAAAACTTTTTTAATAATTACTTTATTATTTAAATGAATATATTATGACGTAAACGTCTTTTTAGTACAATAATATCGATCAACATTGTTTTTTTTTAATTTTTACGGAAACGAAATTTATACCCATCGATTACAAATAATAAACTACGATTTTTTTCACTCAAAATTTCATTCGACATTATAAATATCCTTTTTCCATAGATATCTTTGGGACGCAACTAGTATGCAGCCGTACAATTCATGCTCATAAAAAAGATGCACACAAAGAGCGCATATATCGCAGATAAGGCAAAGGTAGAGAGAGGGAGAGAGAGAGAGTGCGGTGTGCGTACAACGGGACGATGGAAACGCAGAGTATGTATCTCTCAAACAATTAAGATAAAGTAATTTATATTTTTTGAGAAACACTTTTTTTTCATAATTATTAAAGACTGATCTTAAATTTGAGTTATGAACACAGTAAGCATTTCAGCAGACTCATCATTTAAAATGCACACTATTTTTGCACCGTGATACCGTTTAATCGATAGGTATTTTCTAAGTTATAAATTATAGTGTATAACTCATTGCCAACCCCGAGCATAAAGTATGAACTCGTTTTTTGTCTGAATAAAAATTTGACGAATATGCTAGCAATACAAAATTGTAATATATTATGTTAACATAAAATGTATTTTACATTTAACTGAGTTGATGAACATTATTTTGTAAATGCACACAGTAATATAATATATACCAGTTATGATACAACTAAAATTATAGTTGGAAAAAATACTGAATAATTTTACAACATTGATAATTAGGTTAATTTGATTCAATATTTTGGGAATGTTATTTTTCCTTCTAAGCTTAATAAAATTGCATTACCACTAACACTTTTTTTATGCAGGCGTACTGTACGTGTTATTTTTATTTTGCCACGAATAATCGATTAATTTATTCATTCGGTAAAACGTTTTAAAGTAAGAATGCAGATTTTTTTAAATGATTCATCATCATGTAATAGGTTGGACCACCTCATTATTAAAGCCTCCTAAAATTAACACGAATCTATAAATGTAAGCAGTTTTAAGAAAAGCGTTTATTTCTTTTATACCTGCTACCCCATCATAATATGAATTAATTATTCCGAATTTGCTCTAATGGAACTATTTACAGCGACATAATTTCAAACATATTTTCTATATGTTATCATAGCCCAAAGTAAACACGAGTAGTGTATTATATACCTAATAATAATATATGAACATCATATATTTCTTCCTAAAATTGTTTTAATGCTATCTACCTTACTTCCGTATGTTTTGTAACAATCCACTATACGACGTCTATAGGAAGTAAGCACACATGTATATGGACGAACCGTAAGTTTCTACGAAATTGTAAATTGTAACTATTTT